ATATATATATGTTATATAATATACAAAATTTATTTAAAAAATTGTTTTTTTATAACGTATGTTAATTTTTTACTTTGACATGTTTTGTATTCAAAAAGCAACGTATGTCATTGGAAAAAAAATAAGGAAAAAATAGAAAAAACGCAGCTAAAAGGAACGGACCCAAAACAGAGATTATGAAGGGAAGGAAAAATTACGTAAACGTAAATATATAAATAAAATTATATTTATATCTACAATTTATGAATGTAGCAAGACTTATTCCGTATCAATTTTTTGGTTTAGCACGGATTCGCACCACATTAAATTTCGACACTACGACTTTATCAACAGTGTGATAAATGTGATACATAAGTTTTACATAATTCTGCCACTAGTATATAGGGGTTTTCGAGCGTCACACGAAAAAGACCAGAATAGTTCTCAGGTTTCTCTCTACTTTCAATGACGTCATGCCATTTCGCTGAAGCTTCAAAAGTTCTGTCAAAAGTGTTGTTTACGTTTACGTGTTCTGTGATTAACACAAATACAATACGCTAGGCGTGAATTTATTTTGCATAATTATATATAATTTAAGGTTGCATAAATTAATAGATTCATTATAATTGTTTCGGAAACATGGTATAAGAGATTAAAACGTTTGAAATTATTTAACCCTAGGTATATTTTGTAATAGCTAAATATTGTATGTCAAATTAAATAAAATGAGCTCGTGCAGCGTGATTACGTCTGATTTTATAAATGTATCAATCACAAACTCTGGTCAGGAGTCGTGTTGTGTGGAACGTCGATTTCAAAAGGGTATAACCATCCATGAATTTAAGGTAAAGCACTTTCTAAAATTATCTTTTGTATAGAAATTTATAAAACAAAATTATAGGGCAAATTGGAGCTTCTTACTGGTGGTAACCCAGCTACAATGACCGTTGAAGTTTATGACAAGAATGACAAGCTCGTTTGTAGATTGGAGGAAGAACAGCGCCTATTGGGGTCGTATCCAATAGACGATGGAATGAGGATACATGTAAATATACAAATACTACAACATGATATAGAAACTATAATATGAGAGCTTATGTCTTACTGAAACTACTTCAAATGTTTGTAAGCACACAATTGTAAAATTGCAAATGAAATGTAAGAAAATTACAGGTTATTGATAATTTCTCATGCACCACAGAAGATTTAAATCATGTGAAAAAGTTTGAGATATCTGAGGAAGAGTATGCCAAAAAGACAGGTCAGACTATCATATTTATATCAAATTGAATGATGAATAAAATATATTTTATTTATGCTTGAATAGACACTGTTAAGGCATTCCTAGAAAGAAATAAATTGGGAAAGTACAATGAGGAAGATATGAAAAAAAGAGCAGAAGAGAAGAAACTGGAGGAAGAAGCAGAGGAACGCTTAGCTAGTTTGTGCAAAGTTGGCGACCGTTGTGAAGTATCTGTTGCAAATCAACCAAGGCGAAGAGCTACTATCTTATATGTTGGTCAGAATCTTAATATATTTGTAAATCATTTTTACTTAAAAAAAAAGTATTTGTTTTTTTATATAAATATTATTTTAATATATAAATGTTATAGGTAAAACTGAATTTAAAGAAGGCTGGTGGATTGGTGTTAAATATGATGAGCCTCTTGGTAAGAATGATGGGAGGTAAATATATTTAATTCCATTTTATTACAATACTTGAATACCTTTCTTCCTTTCTTATGCTGACTGTATTGTTAATAGTGTCGGTGGGAAAAGATATTTCGAATGTGCTCTAAAATATGGAGGATTTGTAAAACCAGCGCACATAAAAGTTGGAAATTTTCCAGAAGAGGACTTCAACCTGGACGAAGAACTATAAAACGCTATAATTGTTTTACTTTATATTTTCTCTATTATCTTTTTTCTATTAGCAATTTGAAAACTCAAAATAGTGCTTTGTATAAAATAGTTTTTAAATTAAATATAGCTTACATAAATTAAAATTTTGTATTTTTTAATGATGTTTTATCGTGTCTGATTTCCAGCCAATGAGATAGATGTTCCTTTGACCTGAAAATATAAGTAACATAGAACAGTGCTAAAACAATAATTACCGAATAATATTAGTAGATAATTATCACATAATAATGATATATAATTATTAAATAATGGATGTATGTTGTATAATGTGTATTCATAGTCTCATTTTTATATGTTTTTATGATTTTATCGATTTTGTAATCGCACGAATGCTATTTATTAAATATAATGGCGAATATTAATTCTGATATTGTTTAAACAAATTAAAGCATTTGGAAATTATTTAGCTTTTCAATCCTATGGACATAATACAGTATTATATAATAATAATTTAGTTATAATTATCTAGCTATGTTGAGAAACTGGAACTCTTTGTTGGGTAGTATTTATAGTCGGGTAATTAATCAATTTGTGATCGTAAAATCACAATTTTTAATTACTTTTTCTTGTATTTCCCGAAGCCCTATTTTATAACTTAATAATGTCGATATCGATATATGTTGTTAAGCAGTTTTTTTACCATATAAAATATCTGCACAACGACACTGTAACGATATCAACAATTATATTATAGAATAATATATATAATGAAACATAAAATTTTTATGTACAAATTTATATTATATATATAACGCATTATATAATTTAAAGAAATTAAAGATAAATTTGAATTATTATGCTTCTCGCATATAGAATTATTGTAAAATATTTGTTTACGTGAATATTTATTAAGAAAGTAGTTAGACCCAGTTAGACCCCAAAACTATGCGAGTCAAAGACAGACTCAAACATAACTCTAAATTTAAAACAATATATATTGTTATATAAAATCTAAGAATAAAAAAACAATGTATTTTATATACTTACAACATTAAATCATGATGAAATAAGTTAATTTAAGAAAAGAAGGAAATTTACGTATCACATATATAGTACATAAGAGAAATTAGATCGTGGCAACATCGTATTTTTACGAATAGACGAACAGACCAAATAGACAGGCGCAAGCTGTCAAAATATTTAGATAAGAGATAAAAATGTTCGCACAATTACGATATAAAGGAAAATTTATTAAAAGTAATGTTTTAATAAAAAAAGAAAAATGCAAAGCGGCTCTTGCGAAGAAACGACAAGAATGGCGTAACCTGACTCATGATGATAAACGAATAAAGAAAGGTCAGACACGAATCTATTATCCTATTTATAATTTACTTTTTATTACCATTACTATTTCACTCTCTCTTTAAAGTTTCTAAAAATAATTTATATTATTTATACCAAAGTCTCCCCGATAACAAAATCATCGCTATAGAGGTGTATAAGCATTTTCAACTGTTGATACTCATTAAAAGTGCGACGTTGCCATATCTACTAGACTTCGTCAATTCTCGAGAGAATGTATAAAATCAAGATTTTTTATTGATTCAAACTTTATAGCGTTTTCTCTTGGCTGCACCAGTGCAACACTCAGATAGTAGATCTGTTTCTTTATTGCTGAACTTTTGCACCAGTTCATCGTTTTTCCTTTTCCCTTCTCCTGGAGAGAAAACGATCAAGAAGCGGCATGGCCGCTCTCAGAGGCTTCTCTCTGTAAATATAGAAAATTCGGCGAAGTTTGATCGATTATATCTCAGGAACGATGATAAATCATCGGATGATAAATCGAGCTCAAATTTAACAAGCATATGTATTAATACCTAAATTATATTACTTGAGACGAAAGTTTCAAGACATTCTTGAATAATTGTGCTAGGGTCTAACTACCTTAACTATAATTAGACCTCGAAATAATTGAAACAAATAATTGTAACGAAACAATGGCATATAATAACTAGAGACCCTCTAATAATAACTATAGCATAGCATACATTTCTGTGGTAATGAGAGTTAAGCGGGGAGCACAGACTTTTGCATAACGCATAAAGCATGTGCACAAGGAATTTGATTGGTCCATTGACTCATGCATAAGAAAATGGACCAATGAAATTCCTTATGCA